ACTGAAGTAATGAAAGATCTGGGCATCTTGATACCCGACACGCTCTCTTGCACGCAACACGCAGAAAAGAGGGCTGAAAAAGCCGTAAAAGCTCTCTTCGCACTCAAAAGGAATCTCTCAAAGGCAACTTTGGCGACCAAAAAAAAAACGCTTATATCTGTTACGTTGTATCAATTCTGAGCTACAGCTGAGCCATCCGGAAACCATCAAAAGGTGACTTAAGTCTTATAGAAATTGTGCAGCAGAAAGCGATCTCGTGGATTATCATGACAAGCAATAGCCATATCTCCTATAAAACCAAATCGTAAAACTTAACATTCTTCCTCTGTCTCTTTACCAAGAGCTTCATGTTGTACAGCTGTTTGCAAAAATACTAGCTGGAAAAGTTGACATCGATTGGAGAAGACAAGTAATCATCACTGACCTTGGAAACGCGTCTGATGAAATGCGAGTCGGGTTTCTGGTTTCGGGCATGTTGTCTTGCTAATCTATACAACGATACTTCAAATGTAACATATTGCTTCACCCAGAATGCAAAAGCAGACTTCTAGGAATGTACACGAGATTTTCAAATCTCGCCTCAACGAATCAGATACAGGCGAATGCAACAACTGTAGAGAGCTGAAGAAACTTATGCGTATAACTGAAACCTAAGCTTTGAATACTGAAATGACTGGGTTTGTAACATTCGCTCGGAAGTACATATCGACAGAAAATAAAGCTAGGTTATGAAACGACTGGCTAGCGTCTAAACACAGCTCTACATGCCTTTAACCGTGTCTGCCAAAGCCAGTTTTTGTGTGGTCCTTTCAACATCGGGTCGACAAAATCATTACTGTTTTTGGCTATCGGCCAGAACGCGCATATTAATTTATTTACATGCAAAATAGTTACATCCTAAAAACATGGCTATTACTTATTTATTATATTACTATTGTTTTTGTTCAGTAGTTGAAAATCATCATATCCATCGGAGATGGATCAACCCTTTCCCTCAACTCCTAGCTTCTCATTATCTGAAAACGAATTTGGATGTTATTAATTCAATTCAGGACTTAACCGGAAGGTAAAAGTTGTAAGAATGGAGTTTCAGCTAGCGAAAATCGTCGTTCTGGTTTTCGCTCATTTTTGGTTACTGCGAAATGTCAAGTTCGTGACGTCTTTATCTCAGAACGAATTTTATTTTGTCTTTTCTTTGACAAATTGTACGATTTGCGGATTCGTCAAATTGTACGATTAGCACAGTTAATCTATTAAAACTGCCAATCTTCCCATTCGAATGTCCCAATAAAAAATTCGATGTTGCCATGCGTTTTCGCGCCATTCTGGTCGAATGTCAGTTTTAAGCGAACCGTTGGGTTTTATTCATAAATCCTCTGTTATTATTATTTTTTTGCATTTTTGTTATATGCTTTTAAATCAACCAGCGCAAAAATAAATGCTACTCTTTCAAATTGATTTTAGTTATCTGTCTAAAGAGCAACACAACAATTTTAAAAGATACGAGAAATTCATAACCAACAGAACAGTTACTTTTTTTTATTGCAGTGCTTGGTTTTCGGTATTTTCTTGCATTAAATGCTCAAAGAATACACCCATAGGCTTCCGGCAAACTGTCAAATGTTAAGAAAGTGTTGTTTACGCAAGCAAAGCTATAACTCATACACTATAACTCTCTTTTTTTACAACCTAAGTCGCAAATTTTGTTGCAAAGCAAATATTATTGCGACAAAATGTGTTCATTTTGATCAATAACCAGCTATTAAGTACAGCCAATGCTAAGGATATTAACACAGACTATAATTTTACAAATATTATTAGTAGCAAAAAGTTCGGACCGACAGAATTAAATAAAATGAGCAATCAGTTCTTTTTGGACGCTTTTTTGCATGCAAAATCTGAAGCCGAACAACCTTGATTTTTTTCAGACCAAATTCCAAATGCGAGATTGTCGATTATCCGATGATTATGCTAGCCTAACTTTTAAATAATGCGATGAACATCCAGATTTTACTATAGAACAGTTATCAAAATTAGATAAAAATAGAAATTAGAGTTATTTTCAACAGCAAAAAAAAACAGATTAGGCCGCGGAAAAAAAACTAAAGGGAAAAATTGGAAACTAATCGCAGAAAACATTAGCCACCCTGAGCAATAACTTTCTTGTTTCAAGGTTTTTTATTCGACGCTTCGGATGCAAGTGGCCGCCGATGTTATAGGTTTTGAGCGAAACTATGCTTTATGAACTTTCGACGTTATGTTTATTTCAGTTTTAATTTCCGATGGTTTCTAGACAGTTGCTCTTTCAGATGCTCTTTCTAGACAGATAATGTCTGTCCGAACTTTATGCAACTCTCTATAGCACTTTAGCTTCAATGTATCATGGATCTGTAGCGTAGAGGTAGGGAAGAAGATCCGCAACAAAATAAGAGGGTTCGAACCTGGGCAGGTTCGGATATTTTTAACTAACTTTCCGGTATTCTAGTTTAAATGTGTTCGCTCTATAAATTGAGGAATGTTTGTTATTTTTTTAAAAAAAAATTGATTTGTGATGCTAATGTGTCATAATTGGCTTGCGTCACTTAGCAATTATGTAGACTCAAGGTTTTACTAATTCTGTTATTCCCATTAGCGTTATCGGTCATATTTTTGCTTGTGTATGCGAAGTGCAACTTCGCCTCTATGTTAAAAACAAAATCTCGGACGTTTTTGCAACTAAGTGCATCCTCAAGGTTATAATAATAAACTAATTCAAATGACACATCGTTCAATGATCTATAGAATTTTACAAACAATTTTGGTTCTCATCCACATAGTGAGAAATAGCCACTCACAGTTGACCTCTAAAATTTATTTAAAAGAACCCAATGACCTCAATTCTTTTTATGTGATGTGTTTTTGCTTTGTTATTGTTTCGAATTACACATGCGCATTTTCGATTTAGAAAACCAAAATTTTTCTGCAATCGAGTTTGCAGTGTTAACTCGTCGCGCGTATTTCCGCACTACTTTTCGTCTCCTTTTCAGTTTTCCCCTCCTCAAACAAGCGTCAATTTTACTGTGTAACGAACGAGGGGTTGTACAAGGTAAATAGGTTTGTCATCACCTTTTTGGTATTGTTGATTTATACATTAACCACCTCGCAGAATGATTTTTAAAATTCGATTGTCTCATTTCAGAAAATCATTTTGCAAAAAACGGGATTTTTAGGAAAAAAACTACAGGAGTTTAGGCATGCTGAAACAACTTTTTGAGGAGGTCAAAACCATAATGTGCATGCAGCTTGTCAAGAACTTTGAAGTTAGTTTCCAGCTCAGCTATTTTGGGTAGCCGAAGACTACAAGTTTAGCATTTGATTTGAGTTTTGTTTTTGGCTATACTTTTTGAAATTGACCCAATATTGGAGTGTACTGATTACTTGTAGTCGGTCGGTAACTAGCTTTGCTTTGTGTGCTTAGGCTCAAGCCGTAAATGTTTTTCGATTTCAGTATGGTTTTAAGGACTCAACACTATCTCATAGTCGTCGGCTAGAATAAGGTTTTTGAAATACGAAACGTTTTGTTTTGGTTTCAAGCTTTTTTCACATCCGTCTGTATTCTTTCAGGGGTTAAATCTGTATTTCAGGGGTATTTCTTTCTGTAAACAGGGGTTAAATCTTGTGGTTACTTTGTTGTGTTCCGACCTCTGACATGATGAAATTTCCATGCAAAAGTAACTCTGTTTACTGTAAGCGCAATGGTATTTGTGCTGCACCAGGTGATTCGAATAAAACTTGATTCAACATACTTTCCCCATTAAGCTAGTTAAATGCTTTCCGTAAATCCAGTGTTAATACAACAGAACTTCGGGTTGTCATTACGTTCTATTAAGTTTCTAAAGGAGTGTGCAGCAATTTCAACGCCTCGTTTAGTTCTCCATCCCACCTGACAACTCCCAGAAAAATTCTCGCTCGGAGAGAGTTTTGTCTCCTGTGCATTTGAGGCGATGTTTCTGAGCGTGTTGCCGATAGAATTTATAAGAGCGCTCAGTTTTGCTCTTAGAAAGAAAGGAAAGGTCTTAGTAGTTTGGTTTTTTTCCTTCTCCAATGAGGTTTAGGAGCTTAGTTAGTGATTTCAAAAATCAGCCCCGCATGTCCATTTGATTAAATACTAAGGTCTTTAAAAGTTTAACAACTTTGTCCGGACCGGTGCTCGAACCATTTTGAAAAGACATGATAGCTTTGTATACCTCGAACTCAGTTTTAAAAAAGTTTTTATTCGGGTTTGGGGCATTTATTTTGGCTTTTTTGGGTTCTTAACTGACAATTTTTTATAGCCAGGTGTCGAAATCGGTGCTATCTTGTCCATAAAAGCGGCAATCTTTATTCATCTGTTAATGTTTTATCATCGAGCTTTCTGCTTATCAGCTTCCTTCTCTGTCGGGGGTGGGCTTGAAGCTCAGGGTAGGTGTATAAGGAAAATGTTTTTTTTTACAGAGCTCATAGCTGTCGCTTGTTTACGACTAGTTTTTCAAGTTGTCCCAGAAAAAAGACAAGAAAAACGTAAATAAACCAGTCAATTAGTAAACTTTTCTACCAATTTTTCATTTGTTTTCTTCGAAAGACTTTCCGTCAAGGGAACAGGCGAGTCCTTAAGTACAATCTTGAGTACTCGGAACATTTGAAATGGCTCTATTTATCTGGCTTTATACAGGTGTCTGTATTTACGAAATGGCTGTTTTTGCGTAATCTATTTACGTAATTAACATTAACATACTCCTTACGGTTGATTGAGATCATTGTGGTTGTAGGCAAACTTTACTATTCATTTGAAACATTCATACCACTAACATACTCAGTTACATAACGTCATGTTTATTTTAAAAAACTTGATCTATACAGTTTTTGCTTGCGTCAACGTACGAGTTGAATGAGTCGTTGCGTGACATCATATTGGTTTCAGACACATTTTGACGTGAGTGTCAGTTTAAAAAGTATAGATAAAATCGACCACAGGCTTTAAGATGCAGGCGCAAAACAACCAGTACAACTCAGAATGGATGAGCAAACCCCAAGGGATACCAGGATGTCCACCAGGTAGGCATCGATAATTTTTCAAAGCGAATGATAGATAGCATCCTTATTCATGTAGCCCTTTGGAACGCAATATTTTTCATGGCTCTACAGTCACGTTTTCCGGCTATTAGCAAAAAAAATTACTATGAGCTTGAAATTTTAGTGGTTTTTAAAAGGGGAAAAAAATTCAGTTATTTTCTACATGCATGGATGTTGGCCTCTGTTCGCTCGTTATAGCTGCAGAAATTATATTTTTCTGCAAATCGTGCAATATAACGTTAATTTTTTTCGAAATTTGAATTCGCAACTGAGTAAAATGCCTATTCTTTGAATTTCAAAACTTTAACGTGATATTTTTTTTCCAAATTTTGAAGCTTGGATGTTTTTTTTTAAATAATAATTTAAGTTCGTCTCCTTGAATTGTTTGACCCGTTTCAACTGTCTTTGATGAGGATTATAATATTCTCATTGAACCTGTTTTTAATAAAATTAGCTAGAAAAGCGACAGATTCTAATTCTTCGCGTACGTTTATATGTGGTGCCATTCATTGTTCTGTAGGTCTGGAATATCTGACCCAGATTGACCAGGTGTTGATTAGACAGAAGAAGGACTGCATGGAGATATTCACAGGGTGGGAGGAGAGAAACAGATACGAGATCTACAACTCACTCAATCAGCAGGTACACTTGAGTATAAAGAGCTGTACCCCTAATAAACTCTGACGGATGGTCGAGGGGGAACCCCTTGTGGAAAAACCACTAAGTTCTTAATAATATTAATAATAATCATAATATTAATGAGCCTGGTAACGAGTGTCAACGCGTTTTGCAAGAAGAGTGAGGTTAACTGAATGAAAAAAAACTTTGACATTTTAGTAACACGCTTATACGAAGTGATAAACAAGCAAAAGATAGTGTAGCTCCAAAGAAAAATAAAACAAACGAGCGAAACAAAATAAAGGAATGGGTGAATAATACTGTAAAAAAACATAGCAACCAGAAAAGACACAACTGCGAGAAATAAAGATAACGCAGTAGTGAAAAGGATTAAAATAGAACATTAAAAGTTACCTTAACAGATTAAAAGTTACCTTAACAAAAAAAAATTGCATGTAGTTCTTAAACAGGGGCACAACAACGGTTCGCCGTGATGAGCTGTACAGCTCTTGTGTTGGTCCTTTCCCCCGTGGATAAATGGTCTTAATTAAATACCGGACTCCTTGAATGGCTTCTCATCTGAATGTAGGTCCATCTCTCGCTAAACATATGAAATAATATGAAACTCAATATATTTTTGTACTAAAACAAACTGATAGTCAAGAAATATTGGACCAAATTAAAAGTTAAGCAAACAAATTGTCTTATGATAATACCGAATTAAGTAATTTTATTCTGATATTTATAAACCCAGCGTTATGCGAATACTAAGCAGCTTCATTCAATCGATGTTCTTTAGATCATTATTTTCTTGATGCACTAAAAATAGCGAAAGTTGTACTGATACATAAAAGGGAAGTTAAAACTGTAGAAAACAGCCACTTCCTAGTATCAATATCAAAGGTCATGAGCTAGAATATAAGGAAGAATCAGTTCCTTGGTGTGGTGTTAGATGAAAAGCTTAATTATAAGCAGCAGATCAACTAAATAAAAAAACTCAATGCTCACAGTCGAAATTTATCACTACAGAATGTTTTTCAATAAAAAAGTTAAATTTTATAAAGCATATGTAGAACCGTCATTGTAATATGGAGTTCTATTATACAGGTTAGCAAATAAAATGGAATTGAAAAATATATAAAATTCTCCAAATCGCATTCTTTTTAACTTTAAAAGAACGGATAGTTTGAGAAACATTAAAAGAGATCACAAATTTTACTCAAGCAAGGATCTTGGTGTCTATCAATTGACTAAAACATCAACTAAAGTAACAAGAAATGAACATTCCTGCTCCGCTATAAACAATTTAATAACAAATGAAACAATAGAGCAATGTCTCAACTCAAACCAAAAAAAAACGAAACGAAGGCTCACGAACATTTAAAAAAAATGACATCAAATAAATTAAGAGCCACTAGTCCAAGAATATGAAACTTATCCAATTTTTATCAAGTTTGATAGTTTTATAGATAAAGCAATGCAACTAAAGGAAAAAGAATTGACAAAATTAGTTCATCAATTTCGAGATTTGTACATACTAGACAACAAGATCTTAAGTAAGTTCTTCTGGTGAAAGTTGAAAACACTAGATTCAAATAATGCCGCACCTAAAAAGGTTTTTGAACCGTTTTTTTTCTGTTTTTTTTTTGCAGTAAATACCTGCGGTTACACAGAAAAAATCTAATTTACTATACTTTTGAGGCGTGCTTGACAGGCTCGCTGCCTTTTGACGTCCTCCGAAGTGTACTAACTGTAAATTACTTTGAAATGAATTTATTATTTTTTATTAAAAATCGGCGTGGGGAAAGTAGTTGGAAGGGAAATGTTTAGGGTTCTCGACTCATTAATTACATATAGCGAATTAGCTGTTGTTAAAAATAGTTCGAATGAGGCTGATTACCTTTTATGATCATTTATGGAGAATGGAAAAAGTAAATGTATACAAAACACATTGGAAAGAGCAATCAAATATTTGACCATTTTTTGCATGTACTTTTGAAATAGGCAGTCTCAAAATAATGAAATAAAATATACCAGGCAGATCTTTTTTGCTTTCGTAATATCTTTACTGTTAATGTATCAGAATTGTATTCCAGTCATACATGATTGTTGTGAATAATGATTGTGTTAAGTGCTAAGTATGCAATTAATCTGCACTCTTGCTTTGTGTTGTAGTTCTTCTTCGCTCAGGAGGAGTCGACCTGCTTGATGAGGCAGTGCTGTGGTCCCAACAGGGGATTCATCCTCCACATTACTGACAACTACGGACAGGAGGTCATGCGATTCAGGTAGCAACAAACACTCATGTACACAAATCCATTCAATACCTTTATTACAATACGGAATTCAATAAATCGATCATTTTGGACGGCAGGGTGCATACTTGGGCACAGAAAGGAACACATGCATCACTGATTGCATTACCTCAGTGATAAATTAATTTAAAAAAACGGTAAAGTTTACTAAAAACACTCAGGAACAATCTCGGGATGCTGCAAAGAAACACTACGCATTTTTATAAGGCCATTGGGCGTAGTGTTTTGAATTATGCAGTCCCTGTCTAGAAACCCTAAATAAGTGAGAATCTGTAGAAATATCTACAAACTGGACAAAACACAGCGCTTAGTTTTGTAACTAGCCGCACAAAACTGACGCCAATTGAACACCTTCTTTGTGAGTATTGCCGGTGAATGAGTAGTAGGGAATGGTTACTAGACATTCGATCCCTTTGTCATCAACCATAACAGTTGACCACCTCAACCAAACAAACCAATGTTTATCAAAAGACTTATCAAATCAGTACTTGCGGAATAAGAGTATGGCAGCGTCAAAAAATTATTGAAAAGGGTTACTTAGTTTGAGATCACTACAAAGTCGCAATAAAATCAGTTCACTTTGATGAGGTAGTCAACTACTTTACCAGTAAACATCTTTTGAAACTCCAGAAATAGCTTGCGAAGGAAACAGCCGTCAGAAAACTTACGCGCACAACTAAGTAACACCTGTCGATTTTGGATTGTAATATCGGAAACAAATGCCCAAACTCTAATGCTATTACATTTGACATACGCCACTCTCAAATTGTCCATTGAAGCCGATCACTTTTAAGGTTGAAGACCTGTGGGACAACCCCTTTAAAGTCGAAAAATGGCTCATTTACAAACAGCGAGGTGCACATTCGAGTTTTTCCCGTTATTCAGCACTAAAAAAACTGCCCGTTGAAACCGGGCACGGGAGTTTAGCTTGTTCTTACGTAACAAAAACTGCCCCTATAACGGATTATTTTCTGCTCTAAAATGAAATTAGTCCTAAGTCATCGACATTGACTTAAATGTTGTCTCGTCTGCTAAATACAACGGTAGAAGACTTGATAAAAGCTTTAACAGCATGTTTTTGCATCGATATAGCAATCCCCCTTTAAGAAAGGGAAAGAAATTTTTAAGTAGATATTTCGAACACTCAGAATGCAGGAAAACTAAAACTCCAAAAAATTAAAAAAATTGCAAGAGCTCATACATTTAGAGCAAAAATACTGCTTTGTTTGGAAGGCAATAAGTACTTTTTCTTGTAAGAGGTGTGGAATTTGATTAGTAGGTACCAAATGAGGGGGAATATTCAGTCCTATTTTGTCAAAGTAATGTGTTTCTTTTTAAAGCAAGTCTACATCCGAGCGAATGTATCCCTTGTGAAGTTAAATTTTGTTTCAACAAATGAGATCAAAATTGACGTAATCTCAAAGTTAGGCGTTTCGTTTTCCTTGAAATTTGATGGGCAGCCTGAACAAATTTACAAAACTTCTGAATTTTACAGTTTAAACTTTATTTCGATCGAAATTCTGATGCTGCTTTGACAGGTCGTTTATCACTTGGAAATTGTTTTTAATAAGGCTACAACAGAGTTCGGCGCAATGATATTTCCTTGTCTGAAAAATCCAGTAAACCTGTTTTTTGTACTCGTTGCCGAAAAATCTTGGTGGCGTTCGGGAGTATTGGAAAAGCGTTAACCACTAATGAGTTTCATTTATTTCAAAAACTCCAGAATTTTATTCTGGGACTCTGGTGTCTAAAAAGAACTCATTTTCTGTTGGATGTCGAATGTACAGCTTGATTAGAATCTAATTTAGAAACTTTATTTAAATTTCTGGGTATTTCCGTGTTTTGAGACATCCCGTTATCTCAGAATAATAAAAGTAAGAGAACAGAGTGGGCGCAGCAATTCACGAGTGTGGGGGACAGTAAATTTTATTACCTGGCTAGAGGCACGTAAACAGATAATGAGATTTTATAGTAATGTGTATTTTAGAGATCTTATAATTAATTAAATAACCTCTTAGCTGGGCAAGTAAAAAGCATGACAGTCATTTTCAAAATTCTTAGAGTTAATTTTGTTGAGTCTTCGTCAGATGCTAAATGGCGAGATTTTATTTTACTCTTTGGGATATATTTTTTAAATACAGTGCTGATTTAAATTATCCGAACAAAACGAACATAACTTGAATTTTCAAACGCGTTGTTCTCAAGTTGGGTTAAGATTAGACAAAAAATGAAGAGAACAAAAGTTGCTTAGAATTTCATCAGAATTAATATGGTGCAACTTTTTCTCCGAAATTCTCAACCAAATTTTTACCCCAAAAATGGGTCATTTTGGCTTTTTTCAATTGATCAAAAGTTACGCTGAAACTACTCTGTTAATTGATTAGAAAATTATGTCAGAAGAAGCCTCTTACACAGCTTAACAAAATTTAAGTAGAGTTAAATCTCCAAAAATGTGCGCAAATTGTTCAAAATTAGTTTTTAAACAGAGATTCTGGGTCTTATACAGTAAAAATCACATTTATTGACTATCAAAAAAAAAATTTTCTCTTATACTGGTTTTTGGAGATTTAACCCTTCTTAAACTTTGTTGGGCTATGTAGGAGGCTTCTTCTGACATCAATTAACAAAGTAGTTTCAGCGTAATTTTTGATCAATTGAAAAAAGCCAAATAGACCCATTTTTGGGGTAAAAATTTGGTTGAGAATTTCGGAGAAAAAGTAACTTGCAAGTAACTATAATTTGCATTTTTTTGTCTCTGTTTAGGCGTGAGTTCAGATGCTGTGTAGGAGCTTCATGTTGTGCAGACTCGTGTAACTGTGCCTTTGAGGTGATGGTGGAGACACCCTCGGGAGAACCACTGGGCAAAGTAAGACAGGGACAGTATTGCTGTATTCCGGAGTACAAGATCATAGACGCTCAGGGAAACCAGATACTGCATGTACAAGGTACATCAATCGGCTTTTTTCATAATGTTAAATCGGTGCACAGATACCACTCGAAAACTACTCTGAAAGTCCTGGTTAGCTAAAAAAAATAATGCGTTCTGAGATATGACTAGATGCTGAGAAAAATGATGTAGTCGAGAAAAATTGTTTCAATGAATTGATTGTAAAACAATCCTAAACAGCGAATCGGTATTTGTTTTGAATTATTTGTATTTTTTTATTCTTCCGAACAAGGTTGTTTTCAACTTTTTCTTTCGTACAAGGTTGTTTTTGGCTCTATTTTTCCTTCGAACAATATATTCTTATCTTTCTAAATAAAGTCATACCTGATATTCTTCTCGGCTTTTTAAGGGTAATGAACGCAGTGAAGACTCTTATATAGGTCTTGGTGATTTTTTTTCAGGAAAAAGTCTTAAAATACTCGAATGACTGCAAGTGCATTCATACATATCCAGGCATTTATGAATGCGTTTGAGTATATGTACAATTTTTGAGTTCATTTGAAATTCATCTGCTGAAAGTGACGTAAATAGCACTCTCCAAATACGAATGCGGAAATGGCGCAAAAAAAACTTGAACGATTTCTAGTTTTGAAAGTGGAATTTAATTTTCATGTTTCTCAAGCTGGGTTAATGTTATCAAAATACTGCCAATCTTAAGTCGTTCTAGAAATTCAAAGAGCTGAAAGAGCATCTATTTTTTTCATTGAAATTCGAAAGTTGACGTTTGCTCAACATAGTCAGTGTTTTTTTTAAATGTTCACTTGCGTTCATTATTCTTTTTCAATCTTCGATTGGCTATGCTAATATGTCTAGACTTGACGTAGAGCTACTAAGGATTTTTTATATGTGCTAATCGAGGCGAAGTACCAAACATTTGATGGCTGGAGTAAGGTAGCATGCTCCCTCATTCTCTACACATGGCTGTTGAAAGATTGGAAAATGTATTGATATTTTTTCTTCAGGAGAAATGCTCCATTAACTACAGAAGTGCATTCATTTAAATTAATGTATTGATGAATGCATATAGGTATGCATGCACTTTATTAGTTCAAATCAAATTCTTTTGCTAAATAGTAGTTAGATTGCGCTCTCTCATAACGAAAGCGGAAAAAGCGCTAAAAACATGAACGAACTCAAGTTTCGAAAATAGATTTTATATATTTTATTAAGTGTTTTTGAAATTCGAAAAGTTTCAACCTGAAATGTTTTTTCTTCGAAAATTGAATATTGTGCAAACGTTTTAATTTTTTTTTCTTTTACTTCATTTAACCTTCTGTTGGGTATCTTCATAAATGCCAATCCTGTTATAGAACTTTGTGTCATCCTTCTTCTGAGTGTTAGGATTTTCTGACCCAAGTGTTCGCAAACTAGTTATACTTTGACTGTCAAATATATCTAAATTTTAGGCTTTGGCTTAAATCATTTCATCGCACCACGCAAAAAAAAACAAATGATACTTTAGTGGAAAAAAAACTTTTTGTAGTTTTTTAAGAAAATGTTCGGAACATTGTGCTAATTGCACAGCCGCCGGTTATCTTTGTTTGTTTTTGTTTCTGGTCCACCATACTCTAAAATTGATTCCATGGTACGAATTTGATCCCTTTGTCTCTTTTCTCGGTGTCGTCGGTTCATCTGATTTAAAAATCTACCAAGTAATAGTAGAACCATGAAATATCGGAAACTATAAGTTCTTTTTGTTCGATCAAAACAATGGAGAAAATCCGGTAGCCAAACATTTCGTTCCCGAATTCTATACCTGAAGAAAGCTGAAATCTTTTGTAAATTAAGTAAAATACATTACTGCTTATGTTTGTTATTCAAAGTAGCTTTTTTGCTCCATATTTCACTATTGAGCTTGAGCGAGCGTAGTCTTATAGTACAACTTCTTTTTTTCCACCTTAGTCGCAAATGTTTGTGCCGCTTTTGGGGAACTTCTATAATTTTTGATAGCATGTGTTTTGATATTCGATTAGTAATAAGTAAACATAGTTGATCCTTTTTTGAATCATTAAATGAACCGAAAAAAAAGCAACAATACAAAAATAAAAACTCGATTTCCGAAATTTCCATCACAATACATCTCAAAAATTTTTTTAAATGCATAATTTATATATTTTGGCTTAATGCTTTGAAATTTTTTTCATGTCAAGTTAGTGCGGATGCCCAGTTTGTTATATTCTAAATTTTTACATTCAAAATAGTGTGTATTTGTATTTGGTGCCACTTTTGCTGCATGGCATCGACAATTTATTAGCATAAAGTGCTGCCTTCTTTCTGGCTAGTGTTTGCAAGTCATCAAAGCTCATAGCACAGATGCGAAGACAGGGGGCTATAAATCTCCTGGTCGTAGGATTGTTTCCGCCACAGCAAAAGTTGTATTATTCAAGGCGTAGTTTCATCTTTTTTCTTATTTCAGTTTATGTTGCTACCTTTTTTCTATCATTTTTCCTAGTGTTTGCGTGCGAAGCGCAGCATCGCGTTCGGGTTGATTGTTTTTATAATACATGACATAGTATAGAAGCTTGTTTTGAAATTATTGTAATTAACAGGAAATTTAATGTTAATGAATAGTTTTTATTTGCATTTGGTTCATATCTTTGAAGCTGGAAAAAATATTTCTCGTTTTTCAAGTTTCTTGAATAGAGTAACACTTCGAAGATTGTCTGTTGGCTGTGTTTTTCTTGTTGACTTATTTAGATCGCTATATTAGTGAGACTATATTCCTTCTATATATATTCGCCGAAAGTCGCAAAAAATGTCACTATTTTATAGGCTAAGCAAGATCAAGAGGCAACTTCGCTGAGCCTAAAGGCTCTTCATACTTTGCATTGTAAATTTAACTGTAATTTTTTAAACTGAAAAAAATAAGAATATACAAAGCTGAGGGATGTGGAAAAGAGCCATTCAAACGAACTACTGGTTTTCAAGGATGGTTGGGTTGGTATAGTGACTTGAGCGTGGTATTTTCTGTAAGATTTAGTCACTTCTGTGAGGTTTTCAGGCAACTTTTGAGCATGTCTGCATTCTATTTTTTTTTAAAATTTGTTAATTTGTGTTTATGTTGATTTCACCCCAACGTGGGTGTTTAATAATTTCCTCTTTTTTTTCGCTGGAATTGTTCATTTGGCCTCAATATTTTGGTTCATCTGATAAGAGATTAATTGTCTCGATTGGTCGTCTAGTTTTGCATGCTATGATTTTAATTTAACGCAAGTTGGGTGAAGCTTTGCTTTGCTTATATTTTCAAGCTCAATTGAATCTCATCTGGTAAATGGAAGGCAAATTACTGCCTCCTTCAAAATGTGCGCGAAAAAACGTGATTTCTATGTTTCAAAAATGACCTTCAGTTTTCAGAATTCCAACCGGAATAAAAAAATCGTAGACCTAGTTTCCTTGAATTGGGTTAGGTTTATGAAAATTTTCTAAGAGACAGTCTTAGTAATCCTAAAAATCTTGAACGCATTTTTTTCGGTTTCCTCAATTTGATTGGCTCTTTTTTATTTGTATGTTGACTATGTTAAGAAGTTGTTTTTTCTCTGGTTTAAGCATCATTTTTTCGAGACTAATAGACATAGCCGGTAATGAGCTTCTGCATAAATATACTTCTAGTAGCCTGAAAAGCACCTTTTTTTATCAATAGAGTAGATCAAGATTACCGAGATTGTCCCCAATAATTTGGAATGAACTATGCGTGCTTGTTTGACTAGGTCCTCTGTGCGTGTGCGACTGTTGTGCTGACTTTGAGATCCAGACTCTGGACAAGAGCCAGACTATCGGGGTAGTGAAGAAGAAGTGGAGAGGACTGGCCACTGAGATGTTCACCAATGCTAACTCATTCTCTATCAACTTCCCCATGGACCTGGACGTGAAGGCCAAGGCTGTGCTGATGGGCGCCGCATTCCTCATCGACTTCATGTTCTTCGAGCAGCAGAACAACAACTAAAAACAACAACTTGGTTATTATTATTATTATACATTTTTTCTGCCGTTTTCAATGAGTCCCGTTCAGAGCTCAACTTGAAGTGTGGTCCCGCCAGACCATTTCAAATCTAATTGTAGTACTTCAAGGGGATGAAAAGAAAAAAAAACTTGTTCACATTTCTTCCTTAGATGTAGCACTAAATAATCAGAATTTTCAATTCCTGGCAAAAGAAATTCCTTCTTAGAAACTACTGTAACAACTTTTCTGTCAGACTTTTATTTGGGTTCATAGCTAGTTTTTCACGACCATACTTCTGAACAAGGTTTATAAGGGTTATTCTTTTAAACGAGTTCCCATCACTATTTTTATTATGAGTTGTTTTCAGTTCAAGCTTCTCTTATTTGATTTCCACTTCCGGATTAAAGGTGGAATTGATTTGAAAACATCTAGAACAATCACTACACCGAATTCGGCAGAAACTAAAGAAATGAAGCAACATCAAAGACACGCATGTGCAGTAATTTTTGTAAATAATGAGGTTGGAAATATATCGGTTGGAGGAGGAGCAATAAGCAGAATGGTCCATGTGCAGAATGGGTCCAAGAGCAGAAAAACAGAAAAATATTTACTTACTTTGGTTTATACAGGCTAATTGATAAAACAATTATTAGAATCGTCGAAAAATACCAAGAAAACGAATAAATTACGCATGAATTGACTAAGTTTCTTGATTCAATTTTTAAAAAAATTCTTGTTTAAATTGCTCAAATTATGCATAAAATGATCGTTGCTTTGCTATTATCAACATTTCTGATAACTATTTTACCGATTAGCTTATAGAAGTTGATGTTTTTCAATTTTTCTGCTCTTGGACCCATTCTGCTCTTAGACCATTCTGCTTATTGACTGGCCACCATATTGGTTGTTATGAAGTGTTCATAAAAAGAACGAATAGTTTTTTCATGCTCACAAGTCAATTTTTTTCCATTGTTCTTAATGGGGGCGTCAGACAGTGCCGAAGGGAGTGCGGCCAGTATTTAGACAGCCGCGTATTCATACTGGTCAGTATTTAGACAAATACTGTTTCAACCAATCAGAATCGAGAAAAAACATAAATAATCCAAAATAAATAATAATTATTAATTTCTTCTTTGTCTCGATTCTGATTGGTTGAAACAGTATTTGTCTAAATACTGACCAGTATGAATACGCGGCTGTCTAAATACTGACATGTAACCGTGCCGAAGTTAGAGAGTGCCGAAAAAGGCGGGAAATATTGGAACGCAATTTAAGAGGCTAGCTTTTGGCGGGAAAATTAATAATGACACTTGAAACTTGTTCAGACTCAATTTTGGCGCCAAAATCGATGAGCAAACAAAACTTTCTTTTCTTTTCTCAATTAGTTCACGACAAATAAACTTGTTCAGACTCAATTTTGGCGCCAAAATCGATGAGCAAACAAAACTTTCTTTTCTCAATTAGTTCACGACAAATAAGTCAGTTTCTGCACTCTTTAACAAATTTTCGGCACTCTTTAACAAATTTTTGTTTTCGGCACTCTCTTACTTCGGCACTGTCTTACCCAACCTTCTTAATAGCATAATTGGACTGATTTCTTTTTGGTAATATAGATAAATAAAATACACTTTATAAATTCAGTCCATTTTACTCCAAATCAACCGAGTACCTAACAAGCATAAAATATAATTTAGCCTCGCGTTATGTTTTTTAGATCGAACAACCATCTCGTGGTCCACAACAACACAGCAATTGTCAGACTACGTATAAACATGCACACGTGACAAGTGAACACGGTCGACTTGCCATTGTCGCGGCTTTCTAAAAACTCGACAGAGAATAATTTGGGACTTAATTTGGTAAAATTTTATTTTTAGTAAGTTTTCCTTGTACATCCGCCATCCCCATACATTAAATGTGTCTTTTATAAAACAGGATAACATTCAATGGTTGTAGTTTACCTTAAATGTCAACTTCTATTTTAACTTCCTTCTCAATTCATGGTAACAATAATTTTTATCTTTTGGAAAACGTAATTTAAGTTTCCTTCATTAAACAATTTTCTCTTTATCTCTTCTCTGTGGAATGATGCTTATTTTACTAATTGAATGATGCTTATTTTACTAATTGAATGATGCTTATTTTTGTTCGATAATTGAAATGCTACTCGAGAAATTTTGCATTTCTATTTTTGTTCTTCTGGTCTCAAAATAATGTCAATTTGTCAATTCATTTTTAGATGCTTTAAAATTTACCAGATAATGTCTCTAAGAAGAAACCGCAGTTTTATTCTATTTTGTTGCTAAAAAACTATCATCAAAATTTTAAAAAAATAAAAAAAGATGACTGAAATGAAATTTTGGGTATCGAGGTGTCATTTTTGTAAATGAAAAACTGATTCAATAGGCTTTAGCCAAATTTCTCCGCGTATTTTCACGCTTTTAAAAATCAATTTTTTCTACATTGTGGCTAAAAATTGGTAGTTCTTATTTTTAATATATGGTCGACAAAAGAACAGGTGCGGTCATTTGGCGTTTTTATCAATTGAAGAAGGCGCTAAGTTTCTCACGCTTTAGCTCGATTTCCCAGCTAATTTAAATAATTCATGTGCTTAGATCTACGAAGCTTGAACTCATTTTTAATGCATTTGTAGCTTTCGTATTTTGAGATTTTGCTTATGTTTGACTTTTGCATATCAAATGAAATGCATGCTTTTGTAAACTATTGAAGATTTTTTTAAAATCAACTAAAGGCTCAACCAAAAAACATCGAAAGTTGCTTCTTTGATCAGCTGCGTGGATTATATTTTGCAGTTAGAGTAACTGTTTTAAGTAGATAGAAATACTGTTACTAAATGTGAAATGATTTCCCTGATGAACTGTCTGTACTTACTGAACTTTAAGTGCCCAATTGAAACTTCTCACTGATTTCGTTTTCATGCAAAAAAGCTCTAGTCAGCATAGTTCAGAGCTTACTCGCCAACGTGAAAGTTGAAATAACTGTTGGATGGATGAAAAAAATATATTCCGCCTCTCAGTGAGCGCTATGAGAAATGAGCTGCGAAGAAAATCTATTTGCTATTTTGAAGATCGAGTGAAAGGCTTTTTACTGGCCAATTCAGGGGAGGCAAGGAAAGAAATTGAAAAAGAATTTATCTGAAAATAAATAAGTTGAAATTTCAAAGAGGTTTGAATTTTTCGTGTTGAGTTTTTGTCGAAGAAACTAGGGCAGTTTCATAGATTTATGTGAAGTTTTTTTTTTTGGCTGAAGTTTTTTTATTTATTAGTATATGCTTTAATTTCTCTTCGCTCGGTGTACCTACTCGAAATTAGACTAAACAAAAATTTGAAACAGTTTTTTCTCGACACGTTTTTTTTTTGAAATTTAAGTTTCGGTTCACAACTAAGCCGAAGACAGCTTCTCCCCACTCAGTGGTCGAAAAAAAGTTCTGGATATTATTTTAGGTCTGATACTTGGCAAAATATATGTTCAGATACAACAAATTTGAGTTTTAATCAAGAGCAGACTAAATTAATTCAACTATTTTTCCCAAATCGCTGTCTCTTGACAGAAAATTTCATTTTTAACTTAACGGGTGTTTTTTACGACAGAAAAACTAAGAAAATTTCTCAGATGTGAAGCACTGATATTAGTCTTTGCTGATTTGCGGATCGAGTGTCAATTCTTTTTAAAGTGCCCTCCAAATTAATTTGCTAAAAAGAAGGTAATTTAGACTCCAATTACGTCAGAGGATATGGCGCCTAAAAAGGTGAAGGAATTATGTTTTCGAAAGAGGAATAATTTATCTATACTTCCTATCAGAAATAAACACTAACCGCTTGAGCTAGATTTCTGAAAAATGGTATCACTTGAAGTCAAAATTATATTTCTCGAAGTTGGTTTATAATAAAATCAAATTCAAATATTAACACTTAAGTTGAACATCAGAGCTCAAAAACATAAATATATATATATTTTCAATTTTGGAAGTTAATTTTTAATGACAAATTTCAGTTCGTGATTTTGGTTTTTTCTTAAATCTAATCTTAAAGTGGTCGCGCTCCATTTTGATTTAATTTTATTGCCGAGTTAAGTACAGTTTCTAGCTAAATTCAATTCAAGGTGGTTTGCTGAACGGGCAAAGTTTTATCTCCAATAACAAAAGCGCAAAAAAGCACCAAAAGCAGAAACGAATTCGAGAAAATGGGTTTTAATTTTTGTTTTGTCGTGTAATTTAGAGAAAGCATACCGGTAAACCAAGTTTAACTAGAGTAGAACTTTAGATGATAAAACGTTTTTTTTTGAAAAGACGTATTTCTGTCTGCTCATCGTTTAGCAAAAGTTAAATTAATTAAAAAAATGTAGATTCTTGGTGTTTAGATCGTTTCCGGCCAAAAAAGTAGAAGTTTATCAAATTTTTCCGAAATTGAAGTTTGTTTTGTAGAGTTTATAATATATTTGTAAACAATTAGGAAACTTATCCGTTATTTTATTGAAATTTGAAAAAAAAAAATCAGTCTTTTTTTCGACTACTTTGCGTTCATTGAGTTTTTCTAACGGTCTGTTGGCTATAGTTGTTTTTATAACATAATTGTTTCTCAAATTTGAAGACAAAATTCAAATTTTTATCTAGATTGCGTTGTTTTTACAATGAAGAAAGTCTTACGAATTGTTCGTGCTCAAGTTTGATCTGTATCGGTTTTATGTACGTTTTCTGGCTGAGAGTCGATGAACGTAGTAAAAAATCTGGAAAGGGGCGTGATGATTTTCTTTTGTTTTTTTTCAGGAAAATTGTTAAAGTTAGTTAGGCTCAAAATTAGTTCATGAAAAGTCTTCACAACAGCAAAAGTGCAAAGATCACGAAAAACCTAATGGATTTCTTATCTTTAATACGGAGTTTAACTATTAGATTTCACAGCGAAACAAAAATATTACCTATTGATCTAGTTTTATAATCTTGTTTTATAATACTACCTTTTGATCTAGGTGATAATGAAAACAAA